CGATGTATCGGTAGCAATACACGCAAGTCGGATGTACAGTGTGCGGACGGACCAAAGTATACGTAGACGCATTGCATGATAGACTGCAATGACGTCCACCCCGTATCTAGTATCTTGACTCGGGGCATTGACTACGAATATTCGTATACACGGATCCCTCAAGATCTTGCATCCGTCGGTAAGGGTGTTTTGGGCCGTAATACTGACCGACTTGAGTAATTTCTGGCAAGGGCTGAAAATGCTGTTTGTGGTGCAATAGAGGACCCGGTTGCTGCATCGAGGCAAAGATGCAGCCATAATATATACATATGCAAGGACGAAACAAAAGGAACTTCTTTTTCCAACAAACCGCGCAGCTGAACGAACATGGGTTGTAAAGTCCGGAGAACAATGGATGTATATATCAATTCTTTTCTTTTAAATTCCTCCATCTGCCGACCTTGCGCTGTCCTTCGTTATTAGTTGATATATGTATGCATGTATGCATTTATTGTTTTTTAAATTTGTCTATCGGCGGTGGCAGATATGCATGACAGTTGCCTTTTATTCTGGGGGCTGTTCAAAGCATTACAATTGGCAAGGGCTGCACGTGAGCTGACTCATGAGGTTGCGACAATACACGCTCTGTCCGTGTTGGCGAGGCCAATAGTGAAACCAATGTCCGCTCATGTCACGACGCAGTCCACGCGGTTCCCGTGTCAAGCGATGGTGACGAGCCGTCATGAGCTGTGACGAGAAGAAGCAAGCCTGGCATGATCAACCTTTTGGCGGTCTTTCCAAAGTGGACGGTCTCGGTCACCGCGTTTTGGACGGCCTGCAAGGTTGACGGCCAAGCGAGAAGCAAAACCACGGTGAACGTTCTTAGCTGAGCAAGTTGACACGATCAGTCGAGGGGTTTGCGGAAGCGTGGACGATCCCAGCAGCCAAATTTAGTTGCATCCACAGGTTTGCCGTCGTAACACTAGGACGGACGGATGCAACGAGTTGACAATACTATAACTGCGGAGTAGTAGTAGCATGTCACTGTAGGAAGTGGCCTGCGACGTCCTACGCAGGTACGGTGCCGAGCAGCAAGATTTGCCGGCCCGTGGCCGAAATTGATTCAGCATGAGCAGCAGTTCGTTGCTTCTCGTTCGCTTCAATGCTGCCTTGCTTTGCTGAAAATTTTCTATCCCTGTCGTTCGTCGGGTTGCACATGAAATCTTCTTCTTTTTTTTTTTTTGCGTGTGCATGTCTCTCGTATTGGCATGACATGACATGGCAAGGCAAGGCAAGGGAAGGAAGGCACTCACTCCGTACTTGCACACCTGCACTACTTGCGCTCTGCTCTGCACTCTGCACCCTGCACCGCCGCCTTGGTCCACCTCGCGCAGTTGGGGCAAGTCCAAGCAGTTGGACTGGCGGTTGGAGGGCAAGATGGTTGGACAAAGTCACCACAGGCACAACTAATGAAATGCCCCAGCTCAATGCACGCCGCGGCGCTAGCCATCCTGGGCATGGGCCATTTGCACAAGTGCCCTGCACCGGACCACTGTGAAACGAGACGATGACGACGAGCTGCTGCGCGCATAAAACTTAACACGCTCCACTAAGGGCAGCCATGATCGCCCTGTTCGCTCCAATCTGTGTGCATTGCACTGCACATCAAGGCATGCATGCACAAGCCAATGCAAGGCGCAATCCACACATGACTGACAAAGGGAGACTTGATTGACAACCTCCCTGGTCCTGTCGCCAATCCGCACATGTGAGAAAACACCATGGATGCTTGATCATATTGCTGTCAGTCACAGCAAACGACTGTCGATACGAATACCCAGAAGCAAGGCGTGATGTGATGGTCATGTAGATCGCTAGTATGGCATGACGAACCACGAAATGGCAGGCAACCGGCGTTATGCTCCTCGGCGTCATGCTCCCCAGCGGCACTCCACCTTGTCCCGTGATTTTCGTCTGTACAAAGTCAAAGCACGAAGCGCCGGCAAGTCGTCGCGAAGCCGCCGGACGGAGGCGTGACAAACCGCCAACATGAAAATCCAACGTCAAGGCACAAGCAGAGTCTGGTGAACACGACCAAGTCGCGTCGTTTGTTTGGGCTGGACCGGTATTTGCTAGTGCCTTGCATTGGCCAAGTCCATCATCACACCGTTTGAGTCCCAACTGTGACATGCAGCTTTAATATCAAGGCCAGAGAGTGCGCTGAGAATATTGCCCTTTGTGCTCACTACTACTCTACTGCTACGGAGTACTCACAGTTGAGTGCAACGCTCCAATCGCTGGGCTCGGATGACGTCTCCAGGCTCCCCATGTCGGGAGAGAGACTCGGAGGCTTTTGTGGTTGTTCTGGACGGTCCTATCACAGGGCGAGGTCACGTCGAGAATTGTGACGAGCCTTTGTGCAAGTGGACAGCCAAACGCAGAGAGGCCGCCTGCAGCTGGTTGTGTGGTTGTGCGTGTAGGTGAGTGGTGGACGAGGGTGGGGGGGGGGCGAGCGAGTGCACAAGTTAGCGAGTACATGCACGAACCTGCACGAACCTGAATAAAGTGGGTGACCGAGGTGGCTGACGGCCATTTGCATTCACAAGTTTGGAACACATGCCAATAGCAGTCTGAGTGTGGGCACCACATTTTGACGGGACTGGACATTGAGGTTGAGAGTTGGCGATGTGTCCTCTCGGACCTGGCAGCCGCATTACATACTTACACATCGAAACGTCAAGGTTATTCCAGTGCTCGACGTATCAGCGTGCTTCAATGCTTCCCAGCAAGTCTTGTCCACCGGCAACAGCCTGCGAGCAGCAAAAGAAGGAAATGTGCGGGTTGATAGACTATCAAACAGCAGCTGGACTGGATGCTCGTGCGACTTGTCAGCCAGCCCGTATTGATACTTCAATGTTGAAGTGGCTAGTACTCTCTACTCTGTGCGCTGCTCCGTGTCGTGTTGTAGATGCGAGTCAACATTTGGCGCGGAAAAGGTACGATGTACATACCCAAGTACATTAGGTACCCTGCGAACCCCGGGGCCTGGCTGGCTGGCTGGTCTGAACCTGCCGGGATACATAAGGTACGGACGGACGGCTTGGTCCAGAATTAGAATGAAAATCCGTGTCGGTGGCTGCGCCATGCTTGTTCTGTCCGTCTTGTCCACAAATCCACAGCCCACATATCCCGCTACCCACTGCAGTAACTGGCTGTGAAGGCCGTCCAGACGTCCCATCAGGTCCCATCAGTGGCAACCTCATCACTGACTGCTTGTAGTATTTCTCGATGGTGGCCGTCATGAGCCAACATTGGACACTCAAGTGATTGGATTGCAGGCCGACCGTCATGGGCCCCGTCCATGTGTGGTGATGCCGACTTTCTTGATGCCTTCGAATGGCGTCCATGCCAACGCGCCAGGAACTCGGCCGTCGTGTCCATGGCAGCTCAGGCAAGCTTTTCTCGTTGGCTATGGAGAGAAATTAGTAGCCCATCATGATGTGGTGATGATCCATTGATCTGGCACACTGCTGCAGGATACGAAGCACTATACTACTCGTAAACTCGGTACTCTCCGTCGTCTTGCCCACATCTCTTGCTGCCCCGAGCTGAGAAGACGAGCACGGCCGGTGGCTGTCCATCGACGTCGTCAAGCAATGTGCCGCCCTCGACGACGTCGTCGTTGTCTTCGTCTCATCCATCCTGAAGTCGTCTCGAGCCAGGCGCTAAACCCAGCTTCACATCCGCACACCCAGTGAGTGGCACTACCATCGCGTCGTCCACTGACCCTCTCTACCACCCTCGACCCTCGACTCTTGACTCTCGACTCTCGACTCTCGACCCTCCACCATCAACACACCATTTTCCCACGCACCACTCACCATCCACCATCACCCATCACCCACGCCTCCCCCAAGGTACCAAGGAGTGTCAGGACAAGAAAAGGCTCTCCATGCCACACACCGTGCCGTACATACATTGTGTGTACATGCTCCGACACCCACATCGTCGTTGGTCCAAGCCCAGCACCCGGTCGGTATGTCCATACAGACTTTGGCCCTCAGGCCCTCCGTTATTACCCACACACCATCTCTTGACCGCGCGCTGGTACGAGCTCGGGCTTCCATCCTTTCTCTCTCTGTCTTCAATCTGCCCACCCCAGATACACTCCCGCTGACAAGGGTGTCGTTCTTAGGAAACCTGTGCCGCCTTGCCCGCGCGACGGACCCTTGCCAGAGGCCCGCTCTGTCCACCCCGGTCAACTTGGCGAGTGAGACAAGCGTGGAGGCAACTTTGAGAGGTTTCCACTTGAACCACGCCTATCGGTGTCGGTCGACTCTTTGGATGGCTCTGGTGTTGATCTCGGGCTTGACTTCGTACTTATGCCTCACGGACCCCGTCACCACATTGGATTTGGTTTCTCGTTGATCGACAACCTGGTTGGATCTGGTGCTTTTGATCTTTGTGTGTTCTTTTATTCAATACCCTCTCGGTTCTTCCTTCTTTTCCCTTCTTGTGGTCTCGCGCCTCTATACTTCAACTTGGAATATCTCACCCATCTCGGACGAGATTCCAGTCCTCTCATTTACAAACCCCTCGTGCCCTCTGGATATACTCTCGTCTGCCTGTCGTTTTCCATCAGTCTGGATGTAGGGTTGCCGTGTACAACATCCTCAACCGTGCCGAGTCACTAATCAACAGTCAGCTTCTTGATCTGATCAAGTTGTCTGCCGTCCATTCATTGTCGAAGAACCTGAGCATCACCGCACTGCCGTCCTTTGACCAAGCCTTGCTAGCTCTTGCAACTGTATATTACAATACTTAATCGATTCACGATACGAAAGCCCACGATATTATAAAGACGCCATAGTACCAATTATTTAATATAAAACGACGAACCAAAAAAAAAAAGAGCACATTGTGCTACCTTTGGTAAGCATGGATTTTTCAAATGACGAGTAAAAGCATGCCGACCTGTTGGTAGCTAATCCCTCTTCCAACCCTGTAGACTGTATTTCAAAATGGACTCAAACATGATGCCACAGACAGCTCAACAAAATGCCGTCTTCAGCAAGACCAACTTCGCCCAGCAAAAGCTGGGCCAGTACCAAGTCGTGGCTCCCGCATCTCCCGTCTGCTCCAGACCCGGTTCATCTTGCTCACAGCCGCCAACTCTCTTCAGCAACGGCCCGGCAGTCTTGACTCCCACGGGATCGCCTCCACCGATCGGCTTCAGGCCCGCCGTCATGTTGGAATCGGAATTTGGGGATAGCTCATACTTTCCCTCCACACCGCCACTGTCCACTTCTGGCAGTGCAGTTGGCAGCCCCAAGAACTATGAAGTGCTGCAGACCCCATTGAACCCCATGTTCTCGGGTTTAGATGGTTTTGTTGGTGTAAAATCTGGATATGAATCAACCGAGAGCTCAGTCCTAGATTGGGCCAGCTGCGACTCACCTCCCATGACGCCTGGTAAGTACAAATTCCAGTCACATTTTCTCTGTCTTTATTTGGTGTGTCCGATAAATTATTTCTATGCCTGTAATGGCGTTTGATTTTTGCTGCAAACGCCATAGTTGTCTGTCCGATGTTGCGTGCTGGATTTGCGTTAGTCCCAGTCCCTAATTATTATTGGTAGTTTTCATTCACTCCCAGCCGTCCAGGGTTCCCTCGCTTAGCAGCACCACAAGCGACCTGTCAAACATTTCTTGCCCATCTCTGTCGCCATCACCTGCACCGTACGCCAGATCTGTTTCCTCTGAGAACGACGTCGACTTCTGCGATCCTCGCAACCTGACCGTTCCTAACACTTCCAACTCAAGTCTTGCGCCAGAATTCACCCTCGATTGTCTTGGTGAGGAAGAGGGTAGTCCCTCAGAGCAGAGTGCCCTTGACACCGTCCTATCCCAGACGGCGTTTGACTTTAGTCCTGCTATTGCTAGTGGCTTGCCGGCGTTTGAGGAACTCTCCGATTTCGAATCTGAGGACGATCTGTCCAACTTGGTCAAGCCAGGTGAAGGATCCCGGCCCCGTGCGTGCACCGGGTCATCTATTGTTTCCTTGGGACACGGTAGCTTTATTGCCGACGAGGATTTTAGCTTCGACGAGAACGATACGTTCCAGTTCCCGTCACCCAGCCCTCCCTCAAGCGTTGAAGCTGTCGACGACGGCCACAAGGATAAGCGCCAGAAGAAGACCGGCACGAAGGATAGCCAAAGTGCAGAGCCTGTCATGGACACTGCGGCGGCGGATAACCAGACGGCCGAGGTTGAGGAGCAGTCTGAACAGGCTTCACCAGTGCCTTCTGAGTCGCACTCTTCCGCCGAAGCCGACACACCATCTGCTCCACTGCCAGCTCCTACCAACCGACGGGGTCGCAAGCAATCACTGACGGAGGATCCTTCTAAGACGTTCGTTTGCGACTTGTGCAACCGAAGATTCCGTCGTCAAGAACACTTGAAGCGTCACTATCGATCCCTTCACACTCAGGAGAAGCCTTTTGAATGCAATGAGTGTGGCAAGAAGTTCTCTCGAAGCGACAACCTCGCTCAGCATGCCCGCACTCACGCCAGTGGAGGTGCAATTGTCATGAACATTATTGATAACGCTGACCCCTCTGCGTATGAGGCTGGCATGGTCGCTCCCCCTCCTGTAGACGACTATGCCAACTATGGCAAGGTTCTCTTCCAAATCGCGGCCGACGTTCCTGGGAGTGCAAGTGAGCTATCATCCGAAGAGGCTAGTGACAACGGCAAGAAGAAGCGAAAGCGTTCTGAATAAGCCCTTCGACGATGCTTTGCTGTTCTTATTAGCTTCACGGAAGCTACTTCTTCGACATACTTTTTTTTTTACACTTCTCTCTTGCTGCCAGGACACATTTTGTTGCCGTGTGCTTGGTCAGATAGGGTACGCCTCGGTAGACGGCTGGCGACAACATTTGCACAGCAACAAGCGTTTTTATGACCTGCATTTACACTTTCGATTCTTGTATCAATTTCTACACTTCCTGTTGACGCTGTTTCTCGGGAGGACAAAGTGATTCATTTCGACGCTGCATCATGACCGAAAAAAAAATTTTATTTACAGAATGCTTGGACCGGACAAGTTGGGGTACATCTTGGATCAAAAGGAACTGGCGTGCGTGGTGGTTTTTGCAATTTACCGAGCATGTTTGGGAAGACATGCCTTGCTCAGTTGGGCAGCTTTTTTTGTCGCTTTCTTTACGCTCGTTGTAATCCTTGACAAGTCGAGAGGAGCAGAGGCCTCTGTTTGCTTGGAACGACTTGGACACGACTGTGAATCGGCGGCTGGGCGTTTTTGCCCTGCCACCCTCACGAGTTATTTTACTTTTTTTTTCTGCCTTCTATTCTTCTTTACTGCTTGTTTCCAGCCGAGCATTGCTCTTTTATCATTTTTTATTCGATCAGCTAGTTGGTGATATCAATGTGCTGGTCACAAGTCACGACTCTCCAGGTCACACACATCCTGTCGTACATTATTGTACAGCATTTAGAACTTTATTGCAATACTTGACAAAATTTGACTCTGCTGCCCCAATTCAAGACCGCCTTTTCATGACTGGTGAAATAAATTTGTGCGCGCGCGCTTTTGTGTGTGTGTGTGTGTATCTCCTCGATCGGATCTTCTTTACCCTTCTCGCTTGTACGGGTCGAAGACCGATTTGATTTCGCTTGCTCTTCTCCATCAGTTTACAACACGGCCTGGCCCATGTCGCGACGTCTTCCGGACGGAGCAGACAAGGGTAGAATCTTGGAACGCAAGGGCGAGAGAAGCTTCGTGTCCCAATCGTCGGCCTGCATCGCCCAAAGGCCCTGATGATTAGACGAGGAGAGGAACGAGCCAGGAGTTCGCGCCAACCTATTCCTGGTTTCAAAGCCCACGACTCGTAACCCACCCATGGCCGTGTCGTCGTCGTTGTGTCTTGTATGTATGCATGTAGTACTATGTACATGGTACTATTCGAAGCCTCGGCGGCGGAGAACCCACTCCATGCATGTCCTGGGCATGGGTGTTCATCCTTACCTTTGCCTTGGACCAGCTGATGCTGGGCATTAGTCGAGATGAAGATGGGGGGATTCTCAGCCTTCCGCCTCGAAAGCCATGACCTCCATGTGGTCCATGACCCGACACCACGGCTTGGGGGCACCCATTTGGCAGCTTGTCCAGACGAACCACCACCAGAGGCTGTGGATACAGATTTTGCTGATTCCAGTATAGCCTTCGACTCAGAATATCGTCGAGTATCGCCCGGGGGGGCCCATCTCCTGCGAAGGAGAGGGCCGTACCGGTGGAGAAGCCGCTTCACAATGCTGCGTGGCTCCAGAAAAAAAAGCTGGAGGCATCGGATGCTTTTTGGTCTTTGAAGATGAGGCTAGTAACTTACTACGCAACTACAACGGTACAATAGCCGCGTGCCGACCAGGCCGTGGTCAATATCCGCTGGCGCCTTTTCCAGAAGAAGAGAAAAAGATGTCGGGCCTGGCTTGTTTTGCCAGGATACGGAGTGCGTGCTTGGGGGAACTTGGCGACAAACCAAACCCATGCTCGCTTTAGGCGTGAGGGTTATTGCAAATTTCCCATTTGCCCAGGGGCGGCGGCCGAGTGGGCATGAGCACGCATTATCATGTTGGGAACTCCATGCAACTCGCGGAGTACAACAGATGTGCATACACACTCCGTACATACGTGCAAATAGGCATCTCCTCATGTCCTGCCCGTACGGAGCGCGGAGGAAAACTCGGCAGCGAGCCGAGAGCCGTGCTCTTCGTTTGGCTGCGGCTCCATTGGCGATATTGCTCCAATTTGGCGATTCCTCTGTAGACGGACACGACTGAGTCTTGTATCGGCCGAAGCTGTTGCCGGGGTCCTTGGTGCAAGTTCTGGATTCTGCAGCCCGTACGGACCACGGTTGTACAAATGTACATAGCTGTGGTGTTGACCGTGACTGCGACCGTCATGTCGTCAATGGCCACGAAGCCAGTGCTCCGTACTCCGTACTCCGTATACAAAAGCGAATTACTAGTACTATGTCCTTCTGGAAGACCAAAGGGCGTCCAGCATGTTTGTCCTCGACAGTCCGCCTGGGCATTCTTAATAGCCAACCACTCTGTACTGTGCGCTCGGCATTAGTATATACATTCCATAATACTCTGTTTCGAGCACGTTTTTCGTGAACCCTTCAAAGTTCAAACGGTCATACCGTTACATGGCGGCTTGTCCTCCGTACGGAGTATAATGAGACGTATTACAATATCACGCCCCGTAGCCGTAGGTCTGGGAACCACTCAATTTCCTCGTGGTGTTTGGCCTTTGTGCATCCAACGTCCCATGAAGAACCCGTCACTTTGAACGGAACTCACTTCCGGTGGTACTAGTATTTTTTTTTATTTTTTTTTCCCTGGATGGATGAAAATAGAGGGGTGTATACTCGGTTTATGCGCATGTACCCCCCTCCCCCCCATGCCTTGGACTCTTCCCGTGGGAGTAGAAGGGTATCACTCCGTACTTGTGGATGGTTCTCCATCCGAGAGACAGAATCACGAATGTTGGGATGAAGACCCTGGCAATCTCAACCTGCCACCCTGGTCGGAAGATGCTTGGACGAATGTCCGTGCCAGCCATGGCTCCGAGACCCTGTCCCGTGGCAAACAGGGAACGGAGGAACAAAGTACAGTAGTACTGAGTAATAGACAGAAGAGTCGAGTTGGCCGAGCCGGACCATCTCTCCAGCTTCCCCGGCGCTATGACCAATTTGTCTTTCTTCCCTTCTTGGCGAGGTGGTACGAGTGGTGATGAACACCTGCGATGTCATGTCTATCACGTTTCTTTTTGCTTTTTATTCGTTTGCCACCCCCCCTTTCCCCCGATACAACCACACTGAGTACATATACCAGTGCCGGCGCACGATGCTGGTAATATCGGCAGTTGAATTAGCTTTCCATTTGCTATTATTGCCTTGGGCCTTTGGGTCGGTACAGGACTCACCCGCCAGGTATTTTCGCCATGACAGGTCTATGTCAGGCACATTAACAAGAGATCTGTCAGCCAGTCCGTGCCCAGACGTTTGTAACCCACGTCGAGGTTGAAATGGTTGAAATGTCGTCCACATCTTCTTCATGCATGTAGTCCGTACAAGTGCCGTAAGAGTAATAGTAGTACGGAGTAGTAGTTTTACCATGCTATATCATCATGCGCATGGTCAATGGATGGGCTTCCTGACAAGCAGCCTCACCGTTCTGGCGCTGACTCGACGAGGCCGTGGCGTGTACGCAGTACGTACGTACCAGACCGGCAACATGTTGGACCAAAGAAGGCATCCTGGGCACGAGGAGACTTGGCACTCCTGCCTCTCTCAACGTCTGGCTCGAATCGTGCGAGGTCGCTCATGGTAGTACGGAGTACGGAGCATCATACAAGAAAGGTAGCAGCTGTCAATCACGCGGCGGGGAGAGGGGCGCCGAGTGATGGGAATTGGGCTTCTGCAGAAGAGTTGCACCTGTTTGAATCGAGTCCCATTAGACAGGCCGTCGGATGCTATAGCATTGTATTGTTGCGCAACTGTGTCGGTGAATATCATTATATAATCATGGTTGCTGGCGGAGATGATTCTTATGCAACGTCAGCGAATTTTTGGAGATGGAGATGGGTCCTGTCGGCGATAAGCAGTCTCGACTCATGGAAGTCGCTGCTCTTGCCAAGGCATTGCATTGTAAGCACATAGATGCATGAATACTCGTCGAGGTACTTCGTAGCCACCAGCACCACCATTTTATTTCATTTTCATTTTCATTCATCTATTGTAAATAGAAAATGCAATTATGCAAATGCCCTCCTCTTGCATGAACCAAGCAAAGCACGCACACCACGTGGGGATCCACTCACAACCGCAATGACGGACAAGAAGTCTGGTGCAATATGCAAAATGCAAAACGTGCGCTTCCAACAAAGCAATGACACTCAACTGTCGGCCACAGCTCCACGCGTCTCGGCCGCCAGTACATTCTTGTAATGTCCGGCGAGAAGCTTAACGTGATTGCCCTGATATCAGGTGGGAAAGACAGTTTCTACAGCCTCCTCCACTGCATCCACCATGGTCACCGCATCGTCGCCTTGGCGAATCTCTTTCCCATCAGTGCCGACGGCGGCGGCGACGACTCTACTGCGGTCCGTGTCATTGAGCCGGGTCGGCATGATGTAGACTCGGCATCGGCAACAACCACAACAGATGGCCATGACGCTGCCGCGTTGCCTGCTCCGGAAAGGGACTTGAACAGTTTCATGTACCAGACCGTTGGACACGAGATAATCCCGCTCTACGCCTCTGCGACAGGTCTCCCGCTCTACCGCCAGCCCATTGTTGGCAGTGCACTTCGCCATGAACGAGACTATGACTACACGTCGGCCCATGGGCAAGGATCGGCTGCTGCCGCTGACGAGACCGAGTCCATGCTACCCCTGCTGCGGGCTGTCCTGGCTCGTCATCCAGAAGCCGACGCGCTTTGCTCTGGCGCCATCCTGTCGACATACCAACGCACGAGAGTCGAGTCAGTGGCACTGCGGCTCGGACTTACGCCGCTATCGTATCTGTGGAAGTATCCGATCTTGCCAGCCGTGCCGGGGGCTCTAGCCGATGAGGCCCAGCTGTTGAGGGACATGGCCGCTGCTGGGGTGGAGGCCAGGATCATCAAGGTTGCGAGCGCCGGCCTGGATGAGCGTCACCTGTGGGAGGCGGTGACGAGCGAAACTGGCGTGCGGAGGGT